CTGTCTCAACCACTGTTTTTGTTGTTGTTGTCATTACCAACATGAATACATGGACAGACATACCATGTCAATAGCTATTGTAAATAGGCATAAACATTCTTGAATGAAATCTTAACAAGTTGTTGGTTGTAAAGAATATCAGCAAGCAATTAAGATACGCGGAGTTTTCAATTTAAAGAGGTGCTTTTCTTCCACAGGCTTACAGTAGTTTGTTTCACTTCATAACACGTTAGAGTAAGATACAAAATCACTGGAATATTTTCATTTGATCGCCTGTGTCGTGTTTGTTATGTTGGGACTAATTTCTCAGTTGTACGAGATATTCTTTCGATTTTGATGACCTATTCCATCGATGAAAAAACCCTGTATGAAATCATTGGCACAAAAACTCAATCCATACGTGATCAGGTCACCACAGTGATAAACTATCAAAATTCTATGACGCCATTGAATTCTTGCTCAATAGAGCGCTCATACTTCCACACGGTACCTCATACAATTTACATTCTAACCGGCTTTCCGCGAAAAAAAGATTCATCGCGCATTTTCAACGACAAACTCCGCCGTAAAAGTTAAACAAGTTCATTATTACTGTAAATAATACATCATCTTACCTTAAATGAACTCCTAAACCTCGGTGTTTCCCTGAACATTCAAGGCAAATCCATATCCCATAGGTCACGCTTACCCATTGAGGATTGTGTGCCCCGCATTCGAAACAACTCTACGCGATCAAAAAAAAGAGAAAATCGTCACGATTGATCTATATATACAATACAGGATTCCAAATATGATAATAACTGATAATTACACTTACACTGTTACCATCTTTCGGCTTTATTTCCTTTAAAACTCGCCGTGTTCGAGGACTCGCCATGTCTATTTCTATAAACTTCCTCTGATCTACTCTGCCGCCTCCGCTTTCGATTTACGTGTACCTCGAGCACAGGTGGCTCACGGGAATGTAATCATCACTTCCGGTTGGAGTTAATTTCTTCCGGTCTGGTCTCTTTATTGAACAGCGAAAGTTCATTTGCCTGAGCAATTAACTTTTCCTCTGTTTACAAGGTAAGAGGGAATGGCGGAGAAAACATCTGAGTTCAAAATCGTAATTGTCGGAGGATCTGGAGTTGGAAAGAGTTCTGTTATTAATAGTTTTTGCGGCAATATCGTGGAAGAGGACTTAGAAGGTAAGATTATGCCAAAAAAAAAAAAAAAGACTTCTTTTTTAACATCGTAGTGTTAATTGTCGGTAAGATCAGTCGATGACAAACCAGTTTAGGTATCTTTCAGGACAAACCTTTAAGATTAATGGTAAATTCAATGATGAAAATGAAAAAACAATGTAAGATTTGATCTTAATTTCGACGCGATTTAAATTCCCTATGGATTCCCAATTGATTTTTCGATTTTGATACAAAAACGAGTGCGATCGAAGAGATAAATTTAACACCACCTGCCGTCTCTTTTCCATACACTTGAGAATTTTGAAATTTAAACGAGTGATTTCTGTAGTTTCCACTGAGTGAGGAATTTTAAATGAGTAAATACAGGAGCCCATTACCTTGTAAATGTAACAGGGATAACATAGAATTTTCCAGAAAGGGAGTCCTACATTAGAATCTTCTGCATGTTGGGAAAAACCACACCTGTGCAACACGAGAATTTTTTGTTTTGCTTTTTTGTTCTTTTGTGTGCGTGTTTTTAAGGCGAGTACAGGCTAGCGCGAGGCGAGCGCGGATGGCGTGCCACGCCCCCTTGCGTTTGATTGCGCTAACTTGAAAAACGCCAAAAAAAAATGACGCCTGTTCTGCTGGCTGGAAAAAACCAAGTTGAATTACTTTTATTAATTATCACTTTCTCTCTGAGGGAGGGACGGGTCATCCAGCACCTCTTGAGCGATGTCCATGATAAAGCAGATAACTCCTTTTAACTTCTTTCTTCCTCCTGTCCTCCATGAAGAGAACTGCATTGTTTCTTCTTTTTTTCGTCTTATGAAAGCCGATGACCAAGTGCAAGTGGTTGCAGATCAGCAAGTTGTAATAAAGAGGATGGAGGTGCAGGGCAAGGACATTTGTCTGAAAATAGTGTAAGCTATTTTAACATACCATTCTGGTTTAGACTTCTCTAAGGATTGATAGTTTACTTCCCAAACTCTCTATTTCTCTTTTTTTTAAAGCAAAAATTATCCTGACTTATCTAGCTATACCTAACCCACTCACTTATTCAGTGCCTTGACCTTAACTGTGCGCTGTCTAACATTTCTTTTACACAGGTGCATCTCACATGTACAAATAATTACTACTTTCCACAGTTATCACATTTTCGATGTCATCAGACCGTAAATGATTACAATTTTATTTGTAAGAAACATGAATACTCTCAGGGTAGATAGCCCATTAAGATTTTCCAGGTGAAACAACGATTGCTAAATTGCTCTTTTGAATTTTCTTTTTTTTTTTTGCTTTCCTGTAGTGATACAGCAGGATCTGTGCTGGAAAACCAGAAATCTACAAAGGCGCTCTATAAAGGGGCCCAGGTTAGTTTACTTAATCAGTCATATTGTCTTTGAGGAACTTTCTGTAACTTTTAACAATTTACAGCTGAGATGAAAAATATGGCTGAGAAGCTGATTTTCTGCCTTTCACCTCCTTATGATCAATTAATCATAAAAATGATAAATTCAACTGACAGTGACAAAACAAACTTATGTGAAGACTGAAAATCACTGACTTATGATTTGTCATGTCATAGGGTATCATGGTCATATATGACGTCACCCACAAACATTCATTTGATGATGTTCCAAAGTTGCTGCAGGACATAGATGAGGTAATTACTGATATCTCAAGAGAAACATTTAGGTGAACATTTCAAACTGATTATGTTTTATTTTTTTGAACGAACGATTGCTGTCCAAAAAAACACCCTTTTGAAGAGGCTAAGTGCCAAAATTGTCTATCCTGCGTTAGGACTCAAGACCCCTGGAACAGTTTGGCAGCATAAACCTAAGTTGGTAAAAAAAAGGATGCCCTTCTCCGCCCATTTTTAGCACCCCAACCGCTTTTGCACACCTTGTACTTATTAGCTAGATGAAGAACTGTCTCTTCTCAATGGAATAGTATTCTATTCCATTTTTAGCACCTCAACTACTTTTGCACAGCTTGTTCTTGTTAGCTAGATGAAGAACTGTCTTGTCTCAATGGAGTAGTATTCTATTCAGTTGACTAGCCTTAGGCTAATAGAATACTACTATGAAATTATCAAATATACGAGGTATAATTGTAACATCATTTCTCCCTGATAGCATCGTGAGGGTGCTCCTGTGGTGTTTGTCATTGGAAACAAGTGTGACTTGGAGGACAGAAGAGTAATCTCCATAGAAACTCTGGAGGGGGTAATTTTGAGGAGATTTTATAATATATATTTTCTATGTATATTAACATTGTGTTTTATGTGTTTGACAACTTTCTATCTTGGCTTTGAGTCTACAGCATAACAGTTCGCAAAGGCATTTATCGTATTAGTTCAATAAAGATAAAAGTTGCAAGAAAAACAAAAACATATGAAAGAGCTAATTCTTTTGATGTACAGTACAAATCATTCTACAGATTTTCTTATAACATGTTTTATTACCTTGGAATGGTCTGAGGCGATGGTAAAATTTGATGGTTGAACAGTATTATGTCTTATGAACAGCAGATTGAACTCTGTGCAACCCTCCCTCCCCTCCTTCTCAAAAACCAGTCCTGTTAGTTGTAAAATATGCTGGGAAATCTGAGTAACGGTAACGAGGTACTGGTGACGAGTACTTTAAAAATATCTTGAAAACTAGTGCGGTAAACGTTAGTTTAAAGAAGGAAGTTTAGTCGTGTTCTGATCATATGTTTCTGTATATTTTCCTTAATTTTCATCTTTTATTCTTTTTCTGCCTTTCGCGATCGTAATAAAGACAATTTTCCTGATTCAGCTTATCCCTTAGAGGAATACGGACTGCAACTCCTTTATCTCCGATTGTACATGAAGCTACATGATGGGTTCCAAATAATGGCTTTTTTTAATTTTTAAAAAAACTAACAAATTTCTATCATCTCATTTGATCCTAGTTTGCCACAGACCATGGTGTTTACTTTTTAGAAGTCAGTGGCAATACCGGTGTGAAAGTCAAAAAAGCTTTCGATCTGATGACGGAGGAAATTCTTCTCGCCGAGAACCAAGATCAAGCTGCAGCTCACGCTAACCACTGCAATTTTCTTTGAGATATCTACCAAAAGACGCTGTATTGTAGTTTTAATCTCAACACTTTTCACATTTTAATTTCAATTTCGTTCACAATTCCTTTTCAAGTTTCTTGAACGCAACCATACTTGTTCACATTTTTTCAAGGGTGTGGCAATCATACCCGCCTGTCAAAGTAGTAGAGGTTAAAAATCCTTCTAAAACGATTCCAGAAAACAGAAACACTGATTACATCAAAGTCGACAATTTGCAGCACATGAACTTGAATTTCTAAGCCTGTTAGAATGAAGTTTTTTATTTTTTCTTTGAGTACCTTGGAAAATTGAAAATTTCTATGAGCACTCGCACCGTGGGTGAGAAAGGGTCATTCTACCTGGTATAAGCAATGTAATGTGGTGACAATGTAATGTGGTGCCATTTCTCCTCTTCCTGTCAGAAGAGAAGAAGTGGTGTCCTTTGCCTGTATACACTTTTTTAAATTCTCTGAGTCTGTTTGAATTCTGATACGTTTTATGAAAAACATTTTGGTTGTAATAGTTTATGGATTCCATACTGAGGCATTCGCTGAAAGAGACTTGACTGTACCTTTAAAGTCTGCAATAAAGCGCTTATTGGAAATCTGTAGATAACCTTAGTTATTACCTTATGTCCATGTCAGTCCACCCTCCTCACCCTCGCTACGCCATGAGATCTCATCAAGGGTCAGTCGCGCTAAGAGCTGGTTGGCGCCACCAAGAGATAGAATGTTAACTTTTCTGTATGATGGCGTAGAGGAGGGAAAGCTGGCGGAGTCTGCACTGAGAGGATACCTAATTTTCCTGTGGAATCTTTTTAACAGACAAAATTTTAGGGCATCAGGAGCCCATTACCCTGAGGGCATGTACTAAATTTCTCCACACCCCGTATTTCTCGACCGCGACCATTCTTGAAACCGAGGATACCTGTGCTGTGGCCTGTGGCTTGCTTTTCTTCCCATGAATCTTTTCGGAAAGCAGGCACAAGCGGGAAGTTTAAGAATGCCATGTCAGACAGGTCTAGGTTGTATGAAGGAAGGGGATTTAATTCAATTCTTGGTATTAAAAATTACATTTTATTATTCAGAGTTGTAAATCTCTTTGCAGATGTGGGTCATGTCTTTAAGGCGAACGAATACATTGAGGTCCATGAACTCATTTACATTTCAGGTTGTTCTTTCATTTTAAAGTAGGTGTCAAACTTCCGAATTCTAACCTTTATGGCTTGGTGCTTGAATATAACATGAATTTGTGAAAAAAATTGATACTAGTTTAGTTACCGGGCATAACTGATGAACCCTGTAATCAAACAAATCAGGAACTTTTTCAGTTTGTTTCCAGGAAGGGTTACTTAGAGACTGCACTTTCTTAACGTAACGAAGTCGAATAACTCAATTGTGTAATCGTGGATTATGGCTTATTTTCTTGTGAAACTGGTTGCTCTCAAACCCTAGACATTTCGAAGTGATATGTTATCTTCAAGAATATTCACGTAGAGACAGTAAAACTACAAGAACAGTTCAATGAATTTGAGATTGCTATTGTTGTGGCTGTAATAAAGATATTTTTTGTAAAAGAAGAGAAATGGTATACACCTGTAAGCATTGTGGCAAGTGTTTTGATGGGCTGTCAGGACTCAAACGACATAAAGTTATTCACTCAAGAAAAAAGCCCTATGTGTGTTCACATTGTGGAAAAGCTTTCACTGACACAAGTAATTGTTGGCAGAATAAAAGAACACAGCACAAGAAAGTAACATGGGAACATGCATACAGAAAGAAAATGCAACAAACAGAGCATTGACATTAGCCAAGCAAAAGAAGGGAAAGTGAAACAAAGAGGTCTCAGTCAGAGAAAAAACCTTTGAGGAACAAAACTGCCAACAGAAAGTTGGGCAGACATAGCACAGGTCTACACTGTAGTAGTTCTCACACTAAACACCAGTCACATAAATGCAAGAAGTGTGATAAGAGTTTTGGATGTGCATATAGCCTTTGGAGACATGACTTTATACATTCAGACAAGAGGCCCTATAAGTGCAAGTACTGTGGAAAATCCTTTAATGATAGTGGGAATTGTCGTAAATATGGAAGACTCCATGAATCATTTAAGCAGCTCAGCAAATTTGAAAGCAAAAGAACTAGGAATGCAAATCTAACTGTTAGTGCCTCATGCACTACATGGGCTTTTACTGTTCATAAATGTAATGCAAGTGCGGTTGAGTCAGAAAACTGCTGGGTTTGTCAAAAATCATTCAGTAGGGAAGCACTCCAAAAACATTATGAGAAGGGTACATGCATATTAGAATTGTTATTTAGCAAATGAATGTAGAACATGATACAGCTACCAGAAACTGCTCTGTTAACTGAAACCAAGTTTTTACTCCTATAAATTGCAGTAACATTGTCAAAGAAAAATGCAATAAAGAAAAAGCCAAAATGAAAAACTTGCTTATAAAATTATTTTCAGACCCAGAAACTCATGCCCCAAACTCGTCAAGCAGTCTGTGCCTTGGAGGTGCAGTTAACTCTGTCTTTAGAACATAGTTCACTGAAAATAGGCCTATTGCCCTAAGTGATATTATTTAACGTGTGTTTTTCAATACTCTCACAACAAGGTCACAATTTTTGTATGTTTTCAATAGTTATCACAACTCTGTGACATGATGTCAAGCTCTTTCAACATGGGATAGAACACCATTAAACATTTAGAACACTGTGGAAAGTATTTCCATAAGATGTTAAGGATTCTTTTGATTGTTCAGATGATATTCTGCGCATTTTACTATGCAAGATTATATTTTTTAAATTCTCAGATATATCATATTGTAATGAATTTCTTGAAACTTTTTTCATATTTGCTACGATAATACAGACATGGAAGCATATCTGTTGTCTTCAGTCTTTTTCATTTTGCCACCAGAATGCTACAATCCTTGAAGATTTGTACGAGTAATAACATGATTTTGAGTGCAAATTGGTGGAAACAAGGGCAAGTCAAGTTTCCAAAGACTAAAAATTGCACAAACCCTACATGCTTGTGCAGTTTGTAGCCTTTGAAAAATTTTTGAAGTGCTTATTTACACCAAATTGCACTTGAAATAATTTTGTTACTTGTCAATGATTTACATGAAAAAAGCATCACATAAAGTTAAGACAAATGGAATTTTGAGAGTGCGTGTATACTCTTTGTAATTTGCACCTGTGTTACAACTTTGCACTCTTGTTACATAAAAAATGCACTCACTTTCAGTCAATCAGACATGTGTAGTTATTTCATGTATATTGTTACAGCCTTAACATGGCTCAGACTGAGAAATACTGTCCTCCATAGCTAGGTTTCCGTCAAGGATTATGATATTGAGAACTGTAATAACAATCTGACCAGCCAAGTAAAGTACAGGGCAGCATAAATATGTGGAAGGCAAAAGGAAGTTTGATATGTTTGTGAAGGTGGTGACTGATGTTGAAGCCTGATGCTCTTTCAGAAAGTGGTAAGGAAAAAAAAGAGAAGAACTTTTAATGTATGTTAAGATGGAAAAGGAAAGTCAAACTTCATGGTGGAGGTGAGTATTCCTTTACCTCTTTAAGATTGATTGCGTGGTAAATTTTCCTAACAATTCTAGTACATTCACACTGTCAATCAAACAGGTAGATTATAGAAATTAAGTAGTCACAATATTAAAGCTATTGTGTTGACTGACCAAAGAAATAGGTGACTGTAAAGAGGAAATTTTTCAGATCTAAGGGTGAAAGGGTGCAACTTCCTTCCCTTTATTGTTGTCTGAGAGAGATAAGTCCAGTCTAGCATTTACATATCAATTGCCTCTGATAGATCAGTCCAGTCCAGTGTTATGTAATTCTTTTAACTTCCTGAGTTTGACGCGTTGCCTAGGGCCCAGTCCCCAATGGACTTGTTCCCACTTCCTCTCCCGTCTGCTCTTAGTACGCATGTGATCTTCAGCGAAGTAGGCGGAAAGGCAATGGCGAAGAAAAGTTATGACTACCTTTTCAAATTGCTCCTTATAGGAGACTCAGGCGTTGGGAAGACGTGTATTTTATTTCGTTTCTCTGACGATGCATTTAACACGACGTTTATCTCGACGATAGGTAAGTGAAAGCGACAATGTTCCCCTGTTTAGCTGCACTACGCGTAAGCTTGTAAACTATGTAAGTGATCTAATTGATCTCGCTCTGATACTGCAAGGAGGAAAGCTCATAAGTCGTCCTGTGTCCCTCTTCTTTGTGTATTTTATTGATAGGTTTTGGTTTAATGTGCCAAGGTTTAATTCAAGCCAAAATTCAAATTGATGTAGTTTAAATTTACATCTTCAAAGCTGCTCCATCTTTCGACGCCTTTGATCTGTACTTTGGCAAGGGGCTTCTCAGAGCAAATGTGAATCATTTCATCCCGAACTCATTGGAAGACATACAGCACATCAATATTACTTTGCATTTTGCAACGTTTAAGCTTTCACGAAAAGGAAAATGACAATTCACGAAAAAATTTCGCGCGGCTGATTTTCAATTGAAATGTTTGAAAACGCTTGGTAGCCACATTCTAAAGTCCGAAAGGTCACAACTATTTTAGTCTTGTTACACATCCACATTCCTTGAGCACAGACATGCCCATGTTTGCATAGGACTTGAAAACAATTCACTCTTTATTGGATGATTAAAAGGTAATTTTACCAGTTTTCTTTATTTGCGAGACAGTTTCCCCTGCAAGTGTGATAATAGCACTTCGTATTATACGGTAGTTACTTTCGATTTGTCAACAATTCCCACAGCATTGATTTCCTGTGTCCTCTCTAACGAAGCTACACTTTCACTGTACAGTTACACGCTTCCATCTAGCATTAATGTCTTCATTATCAAATCATTGCCAAAATGATTTGTCAATTTTACCAGAGAGAAAATACTTACCGCTGCTGCTATCTTCAGCCAAGGAAAATTAGATTAGCACACAACTTTCATTTCAGTCCGTTTAATTGTGATCTTTTTGACTTTTAGTAAAGAATACTGTATATCTTTAATTCTGTAATTAGTGTTGAGGCCTTTGGTCGGTTTTATTTATTTATTTTTATTTTATTTTTTAACTTTCACTCCTTGATAAAAATTAATTTGTGAATTAAAATAATGTGCTACACACAGTGAAACCAATATTTGCAGGACTCTTGTGAGTGGCCACTTTATATTCAGGTGATTCACTCTTATGGGTTTAGTAAATTGTACCACAGTAGTTAAACTCCAAAAGAACAGTGTAAGCAATCTTTAGTCAGCAGAATATGAAAATTCTGCTGTAGATATGATAACACTTGATAACAGAAATATGATGTTTAAAAAGTAGGCATGAAACAAAAGTTTTTTATTAACATGCTGTCTGTTTAATGCAAGGTCATTTTTTCTTTTTGTCAAGGATTAATTAATCTGATATGCTGATCAACAATTTAACTATCCACATCTCACAACTCCATAGTTTTATATTTATTTAACTCTATACTGTGACCAAATATCATGCACCACAATGTATTACACAATCTCCAAACAAATGCAAAGGGATGGTGAAATACTTGATTTATAAAATGCATTTAAGAAAGAAATGGAGAGC